GCGTTTTCCGAAAATCGCACTCCTTCAGCTTCAAAAAACGCCCTACTTTCAAAATTTAGTAAATTTCTTTCAAACTTTTAACGGTTTTAAACATTTTTTCGTACCTAAATAATTCTTTTTTGCAAATATTATTAATGCTTTGTATTCTCCTTAGTTTACTTTAAATTTTACTCACTATATGTTTTTTCGTAACTTTACTCCTTGACCCCCAAAACTTAGCTTTAATGTCAAAATTTGAAGGTTTTTTACGACTTTTACGAGCCCCATGTTATTCTTATGGAGATAAAAATTGAAAGTGGCCGACTTTGGTGTGCTCATCTGAACCGTTTAGAAAAGTGCTAGAAACTTGAAATTTAGTAGTATTGCAGTATGGTATCTTACATTAACGGTGAAATTCGTAAAAAAAAAATATTATCAAATTTCAACCCCCAAAAATGCAAATTGGTGGACCTCTGAAAACGACAAAACACGTTTTTTTCAAACGGCTGTAGCTCGAAAACGGTAAGAGCTAGAAAAGATTTGAAAGAATTTTTATGGTCAGGAATTAAATTTTCTACAAGACACTCTTATGTGTTTTTAGAAAATCGCACTCCTTTACCTTCAAATAACGCCCTAGTTTCAAAATTTAGTATATTTCTTTCAAATGTTTAACGGTTTTCGCTACTTTTCCATACCTTAATAATTCCTTTTTCCAAATATTATTATTGCTTTGTATTTTCCTTAGTTTAGTTAAAATTTTACTCACTACATGTTTTTTCGTAACTGTACTCCTTGACCCCCAAAACTTAATTTTAATGTAAAAATTTTAAAGGTTTTTACCCCTTTTACGAGCCCCATGTTATTCTTACAGAGATTAACATTGAAATTTAAAGAATTGGTATGCTCATCTGATTCCTTTAGATACATGCTAGAGACAACGTGAAATTTGGTAGTATTGTAGTACGGGATCCTAAGTTAATGATGACATTTGCAAAAGCCCATTTCCAAATTTTTAACACCCCCCCCCCCCCTAAAAAAAATCCAAAATGGCGGACATCTGAAAACGACAAAACACGTTTTTTTAACGGCTATAATCCAAAAACAATTAGAGTTAGCCAAGATTTGATTGAATTTCCATGGTCAGGAAATAAATTTTCTACAAAACCCTCTAATGTGGTTTCCGAAAATTTCCCCCCTTCACCCAGAAAAAACGCCCTACTTTCAAAAATTAATAAATTTTTTTCAAATTGTTATGGGTTTTCGCTATTTTTTCTTTCCAAAACACGTTTTTTAATGGCTAAAACTCAAAAAACAATAAGAGCTAGCCAATATTTTAAGAATTTTCATGTTCAGGAACTAAATTTTCTACAAACCCCATTCATGTGTTTTCCGAAAATTTCGCCCCTTCACCCCTAAAAAACGCCCTATTTTCAAAAACTTGTAATATTTCTTCAAAGATTTTCGCTATTTTTTCCTACCTAAGTAAAGTAATTAGTTTTTACAAATATTTGTAATGCTTAGTATTCTACTTAGTTTACTTAACATGCCAACCCTTACATGTTTCCGTAACTTTACTCCTTGACCCCTAAAATTTTAAGTTTAATGTCAAATTTGAATTTTTTTTCACTTTGCGAGGTTATAACTGATTCTTTGCCTATTCTATGGGCGCAAGGGCATGGAAACTACGCACAGTTTATTTTTTTCTTTCTTTTTTTGTTCTTAAAAAAAAGAGGTTGGCGGCCCTCTTTTAACCTTGCATTTGCCCGTCCACATAGACTAAGCGCCCGTGCGTGGATCGTTAACAGCAAGGCAAGGAGTGAGCCGGTACAGTACAAGGGTGAACTGTACTGATAAAATGTTATCGGCAGTGACCCGGATCCGAACCCACGACATCGCTGCCTTGTAGGCCCGAAGTCCGCGACGCTACCGACTGAGCCACCGACTCACTAAACTATTGTATTAGGGCTATCCATAATGGTATGAATATAAAACGAAAATTCAAAAATCCCCCCTTAAATTGATTTCTTTCCTTATATCTACCATATAGCCACCACAGGTGCATCGGTCTAAGTCACGTTTACCCACTTCTACATTGTAGATTGGCCGGAGATCTGAAATTTGACACTATTATAGGTCTTGCACCCTTTTCCAAAAGTGACATTTTTTTCATGACCCCCCCCCCCCCTGAAATGTCGACTTCCCCAATGTTAATTATACAGGTACATCGGTCTAAATCACGTTTACACACTTTAACATTAGCTGGAGATATGAAATTTGGTAGGATTGTTGGTCTTGGCCCCAAACAACCTAGAACATTCCCAAAAGTTACATTTGCCAATGATAACCCCCCTTTCCTATTTAACAATTTCTCCCTCTTATTATGTTATTTTTATGGGAAATGACATTGAAAGTTTCTAACTTTGGTAAGGACATTAGAACCGTTTACTTCAAATTTGACAGAGACTTGAGAAATGCTATGAGTGCTATCTAGACCACTTCTAGGTATGCTACGGACTTGAAATTTTTGGTGATGGCCTCTCACCCCTTCTTAAATTTCAAAAAAGACATTTTAAAACTTACTATAACCTTTTTACTTCATACATCACTTTACTGATATAAACTTATTACAATAGTGTACAACGTTACCAAAAATTAGCCCTTACAATTTTTATAAGCTCCATTTTAGAGACTTAACACCCTTCCGTAACTACCTAACACTTTTTTTTACTTCTATAACTCGAAAACGGATCTATCAAAGATTTGCAAGAATATTCATGGTCAGGAATTAAACTTTCTAAAAAAACGCTTCTAGGCATTTTCCGACATTCACGCCCCTTCACCCCGCCACTAATGACGACCAACAGCTAGGGGGCCTGGGGAGCCCCCAGCGAGCCAAAGGCGATTCAAATGTATAATCTTATATATTAATGGGCAAGCATGATTATTGAGACCCTTTTTTCTCAGCTCGTGAACATTGCAGGGAAAATATACGTTAAAAAAATATTTTCCTGTAGATGTGCAAAATCCCTATTCAGGGTGGCTGAAAATTTACTTGCATCCCCCCTTAACTTTTCAACTACCTGTTTGAGATACAGTATTTGAAATAAGTTTGTGGTAGCCTTCTTGGTTATAAAGGGCTACAATAATGTTGGATAATTTAAAACATTTTGGCCTCATGGGTAGTGGGGTAGGGGGTAGCACAACATTTTTAAATGGCAAGTATATTCGAGTTTGATATCATTTTAAAGGACTTTACAAAATCAAACAATCTACAAAAAGAAAATTGAAATCGGACAACTAATGACAAATTGGCAGCAAAAAATTATTAAGACAATGTTTATTAAAAGTAATTTTAAACTGCCGTTTTGTTATAAGTGGTCCGATAAACAAACTATTAATTTCAAATTCAAAGTAAATTAACATCGGCCTGATGAGTTTCCGTGCTGTTAACGAAATAACAACGAAATATAAAAAAATATCAAAACAAATGGAAGAAATTCGAATCACATGTATTATTTACAACGTAGGGTGAAAATTATTGAAGTATGTACATTACATATATTTGTTTGAGCTTTTGACCACCGGACGACCTCTAGTTCTAATAAAAAGAAGATACATGTGATTCATTTACGTTTATGATTTCTTTAGGTAAATATTATCAACAATTTGGATGTAACCAACAATTTTGTTAACTTTACTTTTAGGAAAGACTATCATATGTGGTGTTTTAGGAAAGTTACTAAATGGAAAAAGAAAAGTACCTAAAGTCCAAGAGTCTAACCGTTACGAGTTAAAAGTGAAGTTGTCACATCAATTGTGCTTCGAGGTCAAAGGTTCGCCAAGATTGAGTTAAGGCACAACGTCGATATTTCCCAAATCTCAAATCGCTGACGATGACGATATAAAAGACTCTCCTAAGCCTGTGAGCTAATAAACTGTATCCACCATCTTTGTTCACTCTCCAGTTACTGTAATACTATTCAATTATACTACTACAGTGGAACCTCGATAACAAGTCGCCCTTGATGACAAGTGTCATTTTCAAGTTCCCTTGAATTTATTTTACCCCAAATCACATGTTATTGCAATCCTCAATAAGGAGTCAACCTTGATAACAAGTCTTATTTAATAATCCCCTTACAAGTTAATATTGATAAACAATATTAACTGTATTATTACTTATATATTTTGCCTTATTCAACTTATTCAACAATATTAACAATATGGATATATTATCAAGTTGTCATGTTATCAAGGCTCTAATGTAGAACCCAACTAGTTCACTAACGAGTACGTATAAATTGATAGCTCGTTTGGTTCACTATTCAGTAGAAATTACCTGTCGTAATATTTATAGTATAAATAATTATTTATACTATACATTATTATCTATTATATTATCTATATTATATAAAATTTATATCATTATATTATCGATATTATCTATTAAATTATTATCTAATTATATACATAATTATCTATTAGAGCCATGTAAACATTATATATCAATCTAACACTATTATTATGGAGGTAAGGGGATATACTGTACGTGAATGATTTAATTAATACATACTAGATGACTTATATAATAGCAATTGTTTGAATCGTATAATTGACCGTTTACTCAACAGATATAACAAGTATGGTTCCAATACACAGATGTCCATTAGCTTGGTACTCCAACGCCTTAAATATACAGTGCATCATAGTGTACAAGTTGTTGTAATAAATACATACACCCAAATATAAGTGTATTTATAATAATATCTTAAAGAGTTTATAATTTTTTTTATTGCTTCCGTGCGTAAGATAAAACCAAAGATTTCAATAAAAAATATTTCTTACATTTTATGAATGCGACACAAAGTATACTGTATTTATTTTTTGTATTTATTTTACTGTACTGTGTTAAGCATGTATGAAAACATGTTGTTACCCACGAAACTAGTCATATAAGTATTTTGTAAAAGAATTATTTGAAAGTGAGGCATGTTAATGATAGTTTGTTCCAATTATCTGGCAAATGTTCATTCCTAAACACAGTGTCAACTGAACTTGTGTTAGATGGTAATGCTTCGCTTGCGGTTAAAGTGTTAAACGTAAGTTTTATTTTAGCAGTTTTTAGTTAAAGTTTTAAATCTCAATTCATCGAAAGTTCTTAAAACTAAATGTATTCAAATTTTTTGTATTAGCTTTATAAAATGATCTGTTTTCTTTTACATCGTTTGGTATTTAACTCAATTAAAATCGCGAATGAATGAAATAAAATTAGTAGCCAAAAGTTGTAGGAGGAATACGACAATGACACATTACGGATAAAACTATTTGTTTAAATATTAACCATGCAATATTTTCAACGAATTAAAATTAAAGAAATAATTAAGCTATGTTTTGTTTAGATCAAAATGTAACAGGTCTCCCTTGTTATATTACTTTCCATGATTTTTTCTCCTACGCCCAAAAGAAGTTAAGTATGTTTTTGTATTATTTTGCCCAAATTTTTTTTTTTTTAAGTAAGAACAATATTTTTTTTTATTAAATATAATTGTTTACAATTATAATGTTATCTATTCATTTTAACAGATGATAGTACTAAAGGGAGCGTTGGTTTTCGTTTTTTGCGTCGTCTTTCGGCCGGGTTCATGTGGCGAAGGACCCGGTGATGAATCTGGAGAGTCTAGTGAGTCCCAGGATGACACAGAAGCCTCCAAGCAGAGAAATGTTGAAAGTAAGTATTACTTTCTGGGTCGAAAAGAATCCTCTCTTGGACAAAACAGCATGTTTCATGTTCTGAGTTACCAACGGATCTTGTAGTTCAAATCATAACTCAATTATGAATCAAGGAAATATTAAATTAGTCTTTTAAAGGTCTTCTAGAAGGTTCTGAAGCTTTCGACGTTGCTTTTGATAGCCTATAGTGGGGAGGACTTTCCCAGTACTGACGTGTAGGAATAAGATTCCAGCTGTATAACTTTTCTAGATATGCCGCAAATAGCAAAATACAGTACAAAATTTCTGATGAAATTCAGAAATCCCCTATCTCCTTAATCTACCCAAAAGATTTTAATGTATTTCCTTTTGATTAAGATACGTAAAAATGTTAGTGATCTTAATGAAAAATTTGTCAATTACGTCCGGAAGGTCTTTTGTCGCAAGTAGAAGCACTTGAAATATTTTAGAAAATGCATACAGTATAATGCAGCATAAAAATTGTGACAGTAAATATTTATTTTGTTCTCTTTAGCATTGTCCTCATTATTGGCTAAGACTTTTGCATCGACTATAATCAATATCTAATGCATCGTAGTTATTTTGACTCAATTTGATTTAATACTTAAATGCCACTTTTTAGTCGTAAATACTTGTTAGACTTAACTTTGATGTTGTGCTAACAAAATAGTAGAGACAATTTATGCAAGTGCAATAATCCTAAAAAAAAAATCGTTTTTCAGCTTCAGGAGAAATGGTAGACACCGTAAAGTGGCCATTTTCAGAGAATGGTTACCAACCCAACGAAATCCAGTCACCAATCAAGTTTAAAACATCTTTAGCTAAACAAAAATCATTACCACAGCTAGTGATCTACGAGCCACAAAACCGCGACGTTGAAGCAGTGTGTAAAAACACAGGAACGACAGGTAAAATGCTTGAAGCTAAAACCAGTGCACACTCAATAATACTAAACATTTTGATGCTGTGATTTCGACAACTTTTACAGTATAGTTGTAGCATAGAAAAAATAATTAAATATAGACCGACAGCTGTGCTGCGGTTAGCATATGTTCTGGTGTCCACCACTAGTGTAGATGCCATAACATTTGCTACAGCACTGTTGTCGGCCTTTAATTAGTTATATGTGTATATGGTTTTAGTAACGCCAGAAAATAACCGAGCATGTGATAACATGGTACCATTATTATTTGGACTTTTCAAACGTATCTTGGGTTTAAAACTACACAACCTTTCTGGAGGTGCATCAACTCCTCCGGTTATCAAGTGAAAATAACTAATTCTACATCTATATAAATAAAATAACAGTTGTTTGTACATTGCTTAGAATCTTGCAGTTTTTGTTATGTTTACGTTTCATAGCTTAAGGAAGCCGAAACGAGTCTTATCTCAATTTCTGTAGGTCTGTTTGTCTGTTTGTCGGTTTGTATGTCTGTCCATCCTGTCATTCTGTCTGTGACGCCAAAATGTCATTTTACTCAGCCTACTCCCAGAAAACTAGAATACCGATCAAGGTTCAAATAATTTTTCTGTTTACTGGCTTGGTGAGAGTTTCTTTGGTTATAAAAACATGGCCTCGCTTCTTTAAAAACAAAATAACGAACCATCAAAAACTAAATTTTGTTCGATATTTGACAAATGTTCTCCCTACACACTATTACATTTTTATGAAATAACGATCAGCTGTTTGGATTAGTTCTTACTTCTAGCTGTCACTGATATGTTAACATTAAACACTGTTTACACATAACGCAGCCATTTCTGATCAAGTTTTGTAAGCACATCCAAACCAAGTGCGATTAAAAATGTTGTGCCTTAACTTAACCGGTTTAATTAATCGCAAGTGCAACGATTGTTCTTGAGTTTTGATAACCGGGGAAGATATCGTGAATCAGTGTTGTATAGTGCTGGAAAACTTCCTTTTTTTATCATCGTCACTAATAGCTTACAAAAAAGGTTTCCACTCATTGAAAGTGCTTAAAGGACAGTTGTGTAAATTGCAAAGTAAAAAATCACAAATGCAGTGTTTGATCGTGAATGTTGCTGCAATCTTAGAAGATCTTTCTGATTTCGCTGTGATCGTAACAGAGGTTTAACTTACAGATGTTAGTAAACTCGCACATAGAGTTAAACGCTAAACTCGCTTTTCGAATGTGTCACCATTGACTATAAATATAAGGATTTATAGTCAATGGTGTCACTTTTGGTTTCTACTTACCTCTTTGTGCTGCAATCGCTAGACCATACCGCAAATCTTGGCCCATAGCACATCTCTTGGGTAGGCCCTACGTAGGCCTAATTATTGACAACCACATTTCGACATAGATATTGGTAATTTTCCCTAGAATTCATAGCCTTTCTACTTAGGAAGTAAAACTACAAACGTCCAAAACCCCAGATTTGTGCGTTTCTTTTTCAAATTTCCTTTGAATGTTTGCTAGGTATACCGATCATCGTTTAGAATTTACGTAATCTTTCAAATAAGAAACCTTTGTGTGGATAAAGGTGGTTTCTTCAAACTGTCATTAATATGTTCAAATTAAAGGTTGCTTACAAATAATGCTATTAATGGGAAATAACTTTGATTTTCGAAAACAAAAAAATCCAAAACCAAGGGAGATTAATAACATCGGTACTGATACACATCAAGTAAAAGATATTTTAAGCAAACCATCAAGAATTGTTAAAGCATTACGTTGTTAACGTATCAATGTTTTGTGGCCTGAGTATTTATTTATTTATATATTTGCCAGCCGATTAACACCTAAAATACAGTTTGATTAGAAGGACAGTTTTAAATGGTCGTAAGTACTATAGTTCTTTTCTTCTGTAAACGTTGGTTTTTGGTACGGGTACTTTTCCTTAGAACCGGTGGTAGCAGTAAGAATCATTTTTACGTACAGATACCTATTTACAACTTACTTATCGTTAGTGCTGCACCTTATTTATTATTAAATGTAATTGATGTCTTACTGTATAATTTATGCGTTTTCTGTCTGGACTCCCAAATTTTAATTTATACTATGAAAATAAAAAAACATTAGTGAAAGATTTTGTTAGCAAACCATCATGAATTTTTTAAGCTTTACGTTGTTAATTTGTCAATGTTTTGTGGACTGTGCATTTATTTACTTACTAGCTGTTTGCCCGTTCTACGTACGGAAATCTTGTAGTAAGTTGAAACCTTATATTCAGAACAGGAATTGGTTTGCATATTTAGTGTGCATTTTTCCAGATATGCTGGCAAAAATATTACTGTATAGGAATACATATAAACCTTCGCAAATACAATATCTGCCAGGTTCAAAGCCAAAACGAATGCTTCACAACTTGATGTCACCCGATAGTGTTAGTCCATATTTTATATCTAATGATAAAAGGAATTGCTTTATAGATCTATGAGGCATAAAAAAATGAAAGGCATAATAAAAAAATAAATAAAAATCTAAATTGGGTTTTTGATGGTTTGTTATTTTGTTTTCAAAGAAGCGAGCTAGTTAATCTTGAAAACATAAAAAAATATGTTACTGGCCCGAAAGTAAATATTATTTAACATCGCTTTAATTCAACTGTCTAAACTTTATGTTAATATTATCACTATATTATTCGGACCAGTTACATAATTTGTTTATGTTTTGATCCATACCGATTTCTGTTCTAATATTCGTGGTACTGGTAACAATAATTTACATCATTAGGTAAAAGTAGTTGACAGGGACAGTAAAAAAAAACTTAATATACCCCATAGTAACTAATGAGGTGATAATTGCCTTAAATTGTTGTAATTGTACAACAAATGTATTTCTAGTGATAAAATATTATAGTAGTCAATCAAATAATGTCAGACTGGAAATTAGTTTCTTGCTTTTCTAATGAGAGTTGACCAACTCAATTGTTTCATTTGTTGAGTTTTATTTAAAAAATAAGAGATGAATTCAGCCAAACAAATAACAAATTATTTTTTGTGTTTTAGTCCAGGTCTACATAGAAGAAGAAGGCGTGCAACATAAGCCTTTCTTGGAGGGCGGGCCCTTAAATCATAGGTTCTATTTTGAACAAATGCATTTCCACTGGGGAAATAGAGACAATAAAGGCAGTGAACATGTAGTTGACGATCATTAGTAAGTTTTATAGAATTTCACATGTAGGAAATAAGCTATTATAATGTTTTATTATATTATATACCTATTACGGACACACACACACACACACATATATATATATAATTCTATATATATATATATATATATATAGGTGTGTGTGTGTGTCCGTAAGCACGATAGCTCGAGCAAAAATCATCCGATTTTATGACATCTTGTATAAACGTGTAAACCTACATTCGAACTAGTTCACGAACCAGCATTATCGGACTATGAGAACCGAGTTTATGGGGGATTTTATGAGGTAAAAATTGGTTTTCCCCATTTTTTACCCTGAAAACGTATCATATAGCAATTTCTTTCCAAACCATTTTGTAGAGATTAAAAATCAAATAAATTAGTATGTTGAAGCGTTACTATGCGCCTAAGGGTTACGGATAAAATTCCAAACAATTGTAAATACAAATCCCATTGAGAATAAGTAAACTGTTGTAGTTCGCTTGTTTATGAACCTATTTTGATCAAATTTGGAAAACGCATTTTATTTCTTACTGAACTATTAACATTTTACAAACAAAAATACTTCTATGCACTCTCTGTTGCAGCAAACCTAAGTACTCGTTGAAATAATTCTACTTAAATATCGATTAAATGTGATATTTTTAAGGAGACATTTTAGTGAATCCAAATGGAAATTCGCTTAGTCTGCAGGTTTGCTGTGGCGGGGGTATTTAGTCATTAGGGGTATTGTTTGACAAAAAATTCAAATAACCTGAAACCTTGTATTCAAAGCAACGACTCTGATAGCTGAATTTAAATGCTGTCTTTTTCTCTATATTATACGGATTCATGGATGGAGAAGCCATGAACCTGTTTTTTACGTCATCCAATACATAAAATGGACTAAATGGTTAAATTAAAGCTAATTTACATTTAAATCTTAGATATATCATGTTAGTGGAGCCATGTAGATATATGAGTAGCAGAACATTTTGCATAGTAGAGTATTCTGTAACTTAAGCAAAATATTATAGAATTTTTTTTGGTTTTCTGAAATAGTTGTACGATTGTATTAGTTTACTATCGCTAAGCATAGATATTTTTAGTGGTCTTTTTTATCCGATATAGACAATGAAGTAATTTAATTTCAATTTGTCGTTCGGTAACCAGACCCAGCTGTTCCAGGTAATTTTTTTTATAAAAGATCCTGACTGATAAAAAAGCTAATTTTAATCAGTACCAAAGATTATCTCACAACATTTTTTTTCATCCTTCACCCATATTTGGGTTAAAATACGCACCTAGGTAGCATTCCCATCTTAAATAATTAATAATCGATAATTTACACGATGTTCCAAAAAATATTTTTTTCTGGATTTTGTAAAATGTCTTTCGGCGTACGATCCTGAGAAAAGACAGCAGCTTTTTGATGGTTCGAAACCGGACCCAGCTGTCCAGATCATTGGGCTTTAAATATATAATCCTGACTGATGAACCAGCTGATCTTAGTCAGTAATGGAGGTACAAAAATGTCTAAAATTGTTAACAATTTTCACAATTTCAAATTTTTTTCACAACATTCTACTAACATCCATCACTCATATTTCGGTTAAAATACGCACCTAGGTTGCGTCCCCATTTCAAACAATTGATAATTGATACGATGTTGCAAACGGGTTGGACATTGATTATGTCCTTCTTCATCGACCCAAAGAAAACTACCATTTTGTTTATGAAAGAAACGTAGTAAAGAGCTAGCAAAGCTATTCGTTTAAGCAATTACTATTTAACTCTGCCTGATTGATTTTCGTAGCGTTATGATATTATTTGTTTATAATTTTTGGACATTTAATAATGAAGATTCATGTTTTAAGCTACTCTGCGGAGATTCACTTAGTCCACTACAACGGAAAATATTCAAACTTCCAAGAAGCTATGAAAAAGGGAGACGGCCTTGCTGTGTTGACCGTATTTGCTGAGGTAAATTTACAAAATCGTTTGTTATTCACGGGATTCCGATTAATTAGTTATAAAACAGATAAAAATGTAATTCTGAAGGTGTCGAAGACGACAATAAATGAAACTATTTGAGGTCACCTGAATACGCTGCATGCACTTTTGCCTTTAATTACACAGAACTAAATTTACATACCATGAAAAGTAAACACCTACACATTCGCAATTATCATACAGTTTGTTAAAAAAATGTGGGGACTTAATTCATTAACCAAATATCCTCCATTTTGAATTTTTAAGTTTACATTTTTATTTTGGATTTTTTCAACCGATCTTTATGAAACTTGGTATCTACGTTTAGGTAGAATACACCCATGCTGGAAAGAAAGTTCATCTTGATTCAACAAAAAATAAAATGGCCACCATTTTAATTTTTTTAAACTTAAATGACTAATAATGGTTGATTTTATGGAAAAGAATTCTAGTACAGTTCTATTAGGCAATTTCAATTCCCTATCAAAGAATACCAAGGTCAAAAAATCTAATAAGAAATAGCTGAAACATTATGACTTTTAGTTGTAAAATGGCGGGATGAAATGGGGCAAACCTGACTAGCTTAGTCTTATTTTACCCATCAACGAAAAAATCGTAACATTTCAGCTATTTCTTATTTAACCTTTTTGAATATGGTATCGTTTAAAAGGGTCATGAAAATGCTAAAGTGTCCCAGACCCTTTTTTTATAAAATCAGCAATTTTTAAAATTTGTGATTTGATTTTCTCTTTATTTTGACCCAAGGAATTACTACGTAAATCATGTCCCCACCTTTTTTTGAAAATATTTACTCATGTTCGGTTTTAGACAAAACATTGCAGTGCAGTTCATTTAAAGCTGTGCACACTCAACACATACATTTTTCTCGTTACTCATTTTAATGTTTTGCTTTTTATTAATATAAAAGTTTAATACTTGAGTTTGTGTAGTGATCCTTTCACATTCTAGGATCCTTCCCAAGTCAGTAAAGTCATAGAGGAAACATATCCAATGATATTAAACAAAATGACATCAGTAACACCATTTAACTGATAAAGAGTCTACATTGTTTGAGATGTTTATATCATTGAGAAGTTTGAATAAATCATCATTGCCCATTCACTTTCATGATTAGTTGTTTAATTCAACGATATCATAGAGCATACAGTTAAACCGACACTTTAACTGAATATAAATTCAAACACAGCCCACGTATACATTGTGCGTTGTTTCTTTAAGTTTAATATATATAGAATCACGTTATGTTGATAAGCTAATACTGTAACTAATAACTGTGGACTTAAATATTCATGGTAATAGCTATGAATTCATACGACTTTTGGACCAGTAGTAAGATATTTTTAACTTTTCTACCCTACAATTTATCCTCTTTTACTTTTTAGGCGTGACTTTCCAAAAAAGATTAGTTCACTAAGATTGGAAACAAATATTACCTGTTTAAACCTATTAAAAATTGTATCGTTTGATAAAGTTTTTTTCACACAGGAAGAAGAAGGAGATAATGCACTCCTGGATCCACTGAAGGATGTGATTAAGCAAATCATAAACCCTGAAATGACCTACAAACTGCACTGGGAAAAAGCCATGAAGTGGGTCCTCAAAGCCATTGAGGACAACAAGAATTACTACACATACCCTGGATCCCTGACTACTCCACCGTACTCCCAAAACGTCGCCTTCATAGTCCTCACCAAACCTGTCGGCATCTCTTCTGTGCAGGTAGGGTGGTAAAACTTTTGTCGAATTTCCTCTAAGGCTATCAATATATATATATATTAATCTTATCGTTTAGCTTCATTGGTTGAAGCTCCCTTCTTATAAATAGTTTGTCATATCGATATTATAACATATACAAAAGAATTGTAATAGACTAAATGATTTAATCAATAATGAACCTCTGCTAGTTTGCATTAGCGAAATTCACCGTAAGTCATGTGACCTAGGACCCGGGGGTATATAAATATATATATATATATATACGTCCGTAACGCGATAACTTGAGTATCCGCTTTTGATGAAATTTGGTTTAAAGGTGTAACGCGGGATAAACATGAGTCTGCAGGTTTGCTTCGGCGGGGTATCCTCATTTTTGACCCTAAAACACAAAATATCCCAATTTCTCTCTAGACCTGTTTGAAAATCCCAAAAAAAACAAAACAATAATTAAGTATATCAAAATGTTTTGTACGGTTATTGGCAACAAAGAAAAAAATTAAATTTAAAACTCCCATGTTTTATGGAGAATATTGTAAAATGTTGTATTTTGCTTGTTTATGGATATATTTTGATCAAACTTGGCAAATTTATTTATTTTATACCAAGCTATTAGTTTTTTACTAAGTTTGTTAGTGTCATTGTAGCAGCAAACCTAGGTACTCGTAAAAACTAATGTTATTTATAGATTTAATTGAAAATCTTCACAAATCTGACAAACAGAAATTCGCTTAGTCGGCAGGTTTGCTGTGGCGGGGGTGTTTAATTTTGGTTTTGAACTCCACAGAAGACAAAAACACATTCCGTTCAAATTCATATATTATTTATATTTATGAATGTGTCCGTTAACACGATAACTCGAGTTAAAATATCCAATATTGATGAACTTTTGTACAAATGTTTACGTTCTTCTCAACAAGTTCACTAAGCTTGATATGGACTGTGAGAACAATGTTTTATAGGGTACATTTTTTTCTGTGAACAAAAACCATTTAAACTTTGCAATTTTTCCAACCTATTTAGTGGAGATTAAAACTAATAAACTAGTATATTGTAGCATTGTTGCACACCTAATAATTACAGAGAAAAAATAATTTAAAATCCTTATGGAGAATACAAGTAATCTGTTGTAATTTGATTGTTTAGGAAAAAAAACTTTGATAAGATTTGGCAAATAATTTGTTTATTTTATTCTAAGTCATTGATATTTTAGTTACAACACACTTGATTAACCTCTCTGTAGCAGGCGACCTAAGTAATCTGTTAGAGGCGGAATTAAACTTATTTATTTGGTAAGATATATGTGGTGTGGTGCTACCTTCTACAGATGTCTTCAAGACGAGCGGGGTTCCTTGATAGCAGCGTGGAGCGTGGATCTGGCGTCTCGTTCAGGATCAGCGTGAGGGCGAAGATGCCGAGGAAATAAAATACTGGCTAGACTGTTATGTAAATTTGTATATTAAAACATATATTTAGTACATAGGTAATGACAAATAAATCATAGCGCCGGAAGGCACTAGCGTGTTGGCGGGGGTGGCCAGTCACTGCAGGAGTCAGGAGTGCAAGTGGCGTCGTCCTGTCCTTGAGGGAGGGGGCAGCGTCGAGTATCAGCTGTTTTTTGGCGGCTAATTCAAATTAGTAGCACCACAATTTTTGGAACGGATGAAAAGGAAATTCAATAGCTGAATTAATATATTTTTAGGTTTAGGCCCTAACATAATCATTACAACTAATGCTACAAAAACATTTTACAATTGAGCGAATATTTCAATGACAATCCAACCGTGTAAATGAAAATTCGCACAGTCTACAGGTTTACTGTTGAGTATAATGGTAATCTACAACGCCAGGTTGTAAAAGAAATTTCTATTTTTATCTAATTAAAAATCATACTAGTACGAAAAAATTAAATTGTTGTCCAAGCTAATTTCCATACCTGTGACTAAAGTGTATAAGCTTACCCAATGCATTATATTATCTCCAAAAACGATCTCCCAAACATTTACCAGTTTCTAAGGCTTCCTATAAGTAATTCAATACAGACATGTAAACTGTTTAGACCGATCCAATAGGGCTTATCCCAATTCCTCGCGGTGTTTGTACGTTCCAAAATCATAGATAATCATTAACCTAACCTATCCAAACCCAACCTAACCTGTTACATAAATAAAGTAGTTATGAACAAATAAAATTGTAACATTACTTTAAGAGTTTGACTATACACTATAAGTGACCATTGCGCGGAGTCGGACTGGATCCTTTGGGGGTCATAAAACTATTCTTCATCAAAAATCTGACCACCACGAGGAGTTGGGTTATGCCCATCCAATACTATGACCGAATGTTTTAAGGGTGCGCTCTACCTCAGCTCGGATTTCTCAGTACGAAGTTGCTTTTATGCTTAACGCCGATGTTCCTATACCATTGCATTGAACACAATGAAAAGCGCTGGCAAGCCTTTGGAATCTGGGTGATTACGTCGTTATCCTTAAACTTTTTAATACACTAACTACAGATTCTTGTTTTTAAGAATCTATTGCACTTCCCCCGTTTGTGTTTTTTCTCTAAAAATTATTTGTATGCGTTAAAACTTATGAAAAAACGCGTATTTTATCATTTTTACCAACCTTTTAGGCCAAAATTTTTGAATGATCAAAATTATAAAAAATCTGTAAACCTACAAAAGCATTTCACGAAAAATATGACACCAAGATCTTTTAAATCAGTTCACAATTGCGGCTACAAACAGTAATAACTAAAACCCTTGCCAGACAGGTAGAGCTAGCATTAACAGGTCAATGCTCATCCTTGAAAAACATTTTTACTGTCATCTATGAATACATGGAATAATAGTATTCAATATTTTTCATGATTTTGATGTAATAAGTAAACAATGGTTTCTTTTATTCCGATGAAGTCTTCACAAAAATGCATACACTTAATTAAACAATGGTCTACGACCGTCTGTTTGGTTGGCACACCTGGAAAACACATTTATGAAAATTAAGTTGAAACAAAATACACTTACTAACATACACAAATTTACATACAATTTTACATCCATTTTCAACAAAACTAAAAAAAAATACCTTTACATACCTTACATAACTTTTATTATTTTATTTTTAAAATTATTAGAATTTAAAAGGTTTACGCATAATGAACACTATAAAAATTACTATGAATATTTAAGAAGACAGGCTGACAAGTTGTTTGACATAATTATTGTTTCGATTTTATATTTCACAAAAATGCATTTATATTTCAGATAGCAGAGTTCCGATCTCTTCATGACGCACGTTTCCATGAAATTAAAGCCAACCGAAGATCTACGCAGCCGTTTAACGATCGCCCAATATTCAAAGGTTCAATGAAGGTTAATGAACTTCCATGATGAATTTATTAAATTAATTTTCTATCAGAACTTTTTTTATTTACCTTTTAAAATACTTCTGTTGTAAAATTGCTGCTAAAAAGTCCTTTGTTATATCGTTGTGGGTCTAAAGTAGCTCTTTTACTTTCCACTGTGAAAATAGAATTTTTAGTCCCTAGGGAGTAAAAGTCAGTTGTTGTGAGCTTATTTATTGAAATTACTTATCGTTTGGTTTCATGTAGCTTATTATTGCGTTCTTATTACGATTAATAGAACAGACACGGTATGGATCATAAACATAAACCAATGCATAAGCATAAACCACTGGCCGAAAGTGAAAATTAATTAACATTGCTTACATTATTAGTATAGAATTTGGGCCAGTTACGTAATTTTCTAAAGTATAGGTTCCATACCAGTTTTGTTCTAATATGTGTGGTTCTTATCAATTATTTGACTTAGTTAAACATTTATAAAACAATCGTAATAGGCTAAAAGGTTGAATCAATAACAAACAGCTGCTAGTTAGCACCATAGATAATTGTTTATGTAAGCACTAGTGAAATTGAAAACAAGTTGACATTTTTTTAGAATATCTTTACATGGATTTTTCTTGCTTACTTTGTTAAATAATGTTGAACTTAGACGAAATGTTTAGTTCATCACTGGTGCAAAGAGTGTTTGATAACCCTTTGCTTTGGCTGTGAAAATTTAGTTCGGGTTAAAAAGAGTCACTTTTCGCCCAAGTGATGAAGTAATATTATGTTTCATCACCCGAAGAGCAGGGACTCTTTTAAAATTTATTGCCAAAACTAAATCAGATAAAAACATTTACTATTTTAAAATTTCACATAAACATCGCAGACCAAAGGTAACCAAAAAGTCTATAAAATCAGAATTAGTGTGTAAGAGATAAAAACATATTTTTGGTGCGAATATATAATACATTTTATATAAAAAATGTTACCAAAAAAACATACTAGTGTGTGTAATAGTATTGAGTGACACTTAATCAGGTTACAAAGGTGTTTTTTATTTAAAAAAATCTTTAATTAATCCAGCGCCATGGTCCTATCGTAAGGATTTACACTTAAATGTATTTCTCTAAAGCAATACCACAGTATTAACATAATAATTAACTTTCAGATCATCCCTACGGGAAGCTGGAACGGGATTGCTATAAAGAATCTGAAGAAGTGTATACCTTTCGGTAACTTAGATGGATTATTGCAATTTATAACTTCAAAATTATTTACGTGGAAGTGAAATGGTCTTAAGCGTATAATTGCAATCACATAAAAATGTTTACATATTATTATATTAATACTCAATTTACTTTAAGATGTATTCTAAATTTTTTTTAGTACCAAAAGCAACCATACACACTTGCAGGCCTGTCAGTTTTGCCTGAACAGTCGGACAGAGTATAGCGTCTCGTTTTCCCGGTCAGGAACCGATGTGAACCTCTTAAGTGAAGGAGTGGGGGGCGTGACGTCACTTTTCTCTTGAGGGAACACCATTGCCGTAACGATACGAGGTGTAGCCATTATTGTTCGAGGCGTAGAGTTTAGCGTACTCGACTGATGTTCACGAGGAAACCAGTTCAAATCCCACCGGTGACGTTAACTTTTGTCAAAGATTTTGCTTAGAATGTGATTACTTCTTAACTGTATTTTGTTAAAATTTAACACATTTATAATTTTATTTTATGAACAGAAATATTTTTGATCAGTAAACCTTCATTTGATTTTTATCTTGTATCTTTTTTATATTATCAGCAAGTTTGGTTGGTTGGATTAGGTTATGACAGTTTAATTTTGTAATAAGAAAATATAGAATAAATTTTATAATTTAAAAAAATTATAATATATTTTATAATTTTTTTTTATTGACGTGGGGGCTCTCTCACAATCCCCCACTCCTTCGCAGAAGAGGTTCTCATCGGTTCCTGACCAGGAAAATAAGACGCTAGTTCGGACGGTCAGTTAGACTGAAGTAGCCATACACCTTCAGTTGAACAGAAGCTGGGTTTGTTTGTTCCAAGTACTTACAGCCTTAATGTAAATTTTTATTTAAAAAAATCTATATTTACTGTTTTCAAACAATTAATTCTAAGGTTTGGGGATGACGATGCAAACACCATCTGAGGTTTACTTACTGTATTAGGAAATGAGACGCAAATTTAAGTGTTGGTCTAAAATGTGGATGAAGAGGAATATTTAGTGAACTAACAATATTACTGTAAAAAATGTTCCATTTGAACCGTGATCAAAATCCAATTTGTTACGTGGGACGTGACTGTAAAGTTGAAATATGGATGTATCGGAAGTATTGTTAAATTAAAAAGTTTCGTTGAAAATAAGCATACTCAATAAACCTTTCTCACTGAGTATTACATTAGCATACTGTTCTGGATTCAAACAGTATGAATTTGAAATTATTTTTATAAAATATCAAAATAAATTTAGCTGTATTTTAATGTTGTTATTTAACGTAAAATTGTCAATAAAGGTGTTTATTTCTTAATAGTTTTAAGGACTTAAAAGTACATATACCTAACACCTAAATTCTAATGTTATTTAAAGGGAAAATACTTAATTAAAACACGTGTTGCATGAAGCTGAATAAATCAAATACCCGGGTATTTTACATCCCTAGACATTTACCTACGTTAATAAACTCTGCCAAGCAACGATTTTCCTGTCCTTGTTGCATGGAACATTTTATTTACTAATTTATGCAGTCGATACAGGTACTACAACTGACGACTATAAGGCTCATTGATAACGCTATTTTTCACCACACTATAACCTATTACTGCTATTCACCGCAATAATAATGCACACTGATAGTAAACAGAACTACAACTGTATTATGTGAAGAAATAATTTGAGGAATCAACAAAAATGATAATAAATAGTTGTTAGGCAGTGGTGACAATGAAACAATTCTATTGCAATGCTGAATACTGATTGTATATTTAATATGCATTCATGTTTTAAAAGGTAAAGTGTTGAGCCTGTCAATGCAAAATCATATCGGAAAGTGCGAAACCCTCCATAAAATAATCACACCACGAGTTAATCTGACTAAGTGTTTTCCAGGTTATTTTACCAACAGTTAAAATGGTGCAATACAACAGTTAAAAGATAATGCTCCCCCTTAGTAAAATCACACCAGCAAGTAATACTAGACATGTTAGACAGCCGAAGAGCTTTGCATGGGGCAAAAGATTATTCGTTCTTCAAAGACCTCAAAATAAGATGACTATTTATAAATAAAAAGGGTGTTAGTTAAATTACTTTTACTTATTTTCCTATCTTCCAACCTATGTACCAACAATGTTTTTTTTTATTGAGAATCTGTTCACATTATTGTAAATAGCTGGATACAGCTGTTCGTTTGTTTTGAAGGCATTTTCGGTTACCACTGAAGTCTGAATTTACTATAGATATTTTATATTAATGTAATCGATTCTTACGATAAAGGAATCATATATAGTTTGTCAATAATGTATATCTGTTGTAGCTGTAATAGCATATTACGTTATTAGTCCTGAAAATAAGTGTTTACCGGACGAGTCCTGTAAACACATTTTGGACGAGTGACGTACGATATTTTACGCCATACTACTAAATCCGTACAAATCGTTATATATTACCACCGACTAAAGTACTAACAATCACTAGTCATAATATGTTTTTGTTTATAAACTAACCACTCTCACTCCTTGCTAAATACAGTATATAATCAGCTGGTTGGTGTCCGGTAAAACTCATTACAGTACAGTAGTACGTAATGAAACCTCATTTGATTAATCTGACGGCAAACAGCTGTTTTCTGGACTAAATCCTTGCGTGGGAAGTTCGTCAAAATAATGTAGTGTGGCGTAAAACACTTTTCATACAAACCTCTAAATCTTTTTTAATCTTCAGCTAGTGTATATTAACATCTTAATGCAATTAACGAGACACCTTATAGAGATAAATATATATTGTGAGATACACACTATTACAGAACATGTATTTAAATAATTTGTTGTTAAAGGTATAAGTGTTAGCTAAATAACTAGCTTTAAGTTGACTACTGTAGTTTTGAAATATTTTCCAGCAACTCATAACTTTTTAAAGTGTTTACATGTAAGGATAAGGGTAAATTATATCAAGTACAGGTATTTTCAGATAACAAGTTACAAAGTACAGTATGGTGAAATAAAGCCATTTTATACATAGGTCTCTCGTTGGGTTTCCTGTTTGCAACATTAATGAAAACATTTGGACCCAACCAATTAATTGATTTTAGAGAGAACACTTAGAACTTTGGACATCATATCCTATTATAAACGACCCTTAACTAATTATTGCATTATTGGTAAAAATATTCCTCAGTTAACGTTCTTTTTATAATTGTATCATAAATTAAACATACTCACCAGTATGTTTAATCTATGATTGTATCTACATAAATTGAAAAAGTATAGGTCCTAGAATACTAACTTAAATAACCCAATATTTAATTGCCTTTGCATCAGTATTCGCGCCACAAATGGAAACAACTTAATTTAATTTTGAACCAGGTAAGACAGTGCCTATTTCATCGATCTATTCTAGATTTGTCAGGAATTAAACTATATCGAGAACCGGTATTTGTGTTTTAGTACAAAAAACAATATAGTTTGAATGCTATTTCTATTTGAATTACGTATTGATTTAAAAAATTATAAGATATTTCCGTTTTTTTACGAACTTGAGAACGCAATTCAGATTATGTTAAAGATTCTTTCATCTCCCCCCTCCCCCCTACAATGAATTCTTCAAACTCTGTAAAATACGCAAAGCATTGCAAATTGTCTAACATTGATTTTAACTCTATTCACCTGTTTTTAAAATAATCTTAAAATAGATAGATAAACTCAGCCTTAACATAGTTTTCCAAAATTTGAGAACCTGGCTAAGCCTGTTTATTCCATAACTCAATTTGTTAACTTACACAATTTAAGTTTTTTACAACATATGTTTTTTAATTGTTTTCAATGAATTCGTTTACATGTGGTAAATGTAAACACGGTACAAAGAAAAATGCCATTGTTAACGCAACTGCAGTGTTCTTTTTTAGGGGAAAACTATCGTTTACTTACAGACGAACTTGAAGGTTAAGTGTAAAAGTCATGGTGTGCCACATCGTGTCAAATATGGCATATGATTGACTTGAGCTTCTGTACACAGTTGTTGTGCTTAATAAGTGACGAGAACATCACGTCTTGCGATTGTATATTGATTCATCGTTGTGCAGAGATGGTAACGCATACTTTCCTTGCAAATTTCTATACATAAGTAGTTATTGTTTGTATTTTTCGAAAAAAGTAATTGATAATGTTTTCTGCTATGAACGAAGGTTCAAACTTGATAAAATATTTTCAGCAAAATTGTAATATTGATAGTTATTGATGCAGGCCCTACCTTTCTAATTTAAATGTTTAAGCAATTCATTCATGATTCAATTTATAAGTTTCTGTCCTTATATTAATTATATTTTTTTAATAATTTATGTAATTATAGTGTCAATAGAGGATAGAGGTGAATTGAGAAATATATTTTGAAAAAGTTTTATTGGGTATTTTTGTTCTGTAATAATAAAGGTTTGCCTAGAATAGAGCATCGAGTGAATTTCATGTGAGGCATATGTTAATGCAGTCTTAAACTTCTTTGTTATGATATAATTAACAAGCATATTAGGTCTTTTACCCGTAATAGGAATTTTTAAGGACGTTGCCCTTTTCGTCGTTGGTCGAATGACGTTCTGTCTTTTTTTTTTAAGAGTTGTGTTTTATCCTTGATAAACTTTTTGAAACAGTTGTTAATCCCATAAACAAGTAAACCCTAAAAACCTAATCTATTCTATATATAAATCAGTTTAAAAAATTTTTGTTCAACTAAATCTAGAGTTCTACTGTTAAACTTATATTCCAACCCCGTACGAAGGACGGGTACTCTGCTAACTACTTATGTTGTAATGGTCAATAACTAATGTACTATATGAGCTCCCAATATTAAATGTATACCATTATAATTTTGGGCACAGTTCCGCAGAGGACATACTTAACCACCAATTCAAATTTCAATATATAGATTTGATTCGGTTCGATGGTGTTTTTATAATATACTTTTTTAATGTAACCATCGAATTGAGTTATGAACTGTTCACGTGTTTGAAACATAAATGACACTATCAATACTCAACCAAAACCAAAATATATTTGATAAAAGTCAACAAAACATACAATTAACTCAATCTTATTGAGAGCATATGGTTAGAAAATTTACAGTTTCTTCCATTTTTAGTTGCACAAATTTAAAATAAATAATTATAAATAAAATACTTTTCAAACATGCCACGTTTTTTAACGCACTAAAAAGAAGAAAATAATTTATAAATATGTGGAGAGAATAAACACTTTTAACAGGATTTAAAACGAAAAACGTGGGGCACATGCTAATTTACAATTATCTTCACCTACTGAACTATAATTATCTATTGCATGCGCCCCACTTTTTTCAAATCATACAAATATTTATTCTCCCCACATATTTATAAATTATTTTCTTCTTTTTAGTGCGTTTAAAAACGTGGCATGTTTAAAAAGTATATTTATTTATAATTATTTTCTACTTTTTAGTCTTTAATGTGTAAATATGTTAAATCTATTTTTTATGGCCTGTTAATACATAACCAACACCTTATTATCTGTAATCAGATGTTTTATCTTTGTATTGAAATGCTTGGTTTATTGAGCGGAGCGAGCGAAGCGAGCGAAGCTCTTATACGTCGACTCTTATGCATTTCGTAATACGCAAACTCCTCCTAGACGGCTGAATCAATCGTTTTCAAATTTTGCATGGTGATAAAGACCATATCGGTGAGTGCCAACATCTATATGGCGTTAAAGAAGTCTCTCAGGAATCCGCCCTACTGGGTCTCAAAGTTTCAATGTAATCCTTATGGAAGCAGTATTTGACACATAAACAAAGACATATGATCAGCTGTTGACTTTTGAATGCAGTAGATAAAGAAATAGCAGATATTATTATTTCACAGATATTAGAAAAGAAACAGTATGGATCAAAAATATAATCAAATGACGACACTAAATTGAGGTCCGTGACGTAGGAAGTCGTGAAGAAAGTAGTAAAGGTGAGCAGTCTGGAGTGTGGGAACTGTGTATGACGATTGGATTAAGGTATCTGCATTCCTAAAATACTATTGGAAGGGAAGGAAACAGGTCCGTGACGTAGAATGTGGCGAAGGAAGTAGTCAAGGCGAGCTGTCCGGAGTGTGGGAACTGTTTACGACGATTGGATTAAGTTATCAGCATTCCTAAAATTCTATGGGAAGGGAGGAAAACAGGTCCGTGACGTAGGAAGTGGCGAAGAAGGTAGTAAAAGCGAGCTGTCCGGAGTGTGAGAGCTGTTTATTACGATTAGATTAAGGTATCTGCATTCCTAAAATTCTATGGGAAGGGAGGAAAACGGGTCCGCGACGTAGGAGGTGGTAATGGAGGTAGAAAAGGCGAGCTGTCTGGAGTGTGAGAACTGTTTATGACGATTAGATTAAGGTATCTGCATTCCTAACATTCTATGGGAAGGGAGGAAAACGGGTCCGCGACGTAGGAAGTGGTGATGGAAGTAGTCAAGGCGAGCTGTACGGAGTGTGGAGGTATCTGCATTCCTGAAATACTATTGGAAGGGAAGGAAACAGGTCCGCGATGTAGAAAGTGGCGATGGATGTAGTCAAGGCGAGCTGTCTGGAGTGTGGGAACTGTTTATGACGATTGGATTAAGGTATCTGCATTCCTAAAATTCTATGGGAAGGGAGGAAAACAGGTCCGCGACGTAGGAGGTGCTAAAGGAGGTAGTAAAGGCGAGCTGTCCGGAGTGTGAGAACTGTTTATGACGATTAGATTAAGGTGTCTGCATTCCTAAAATACTATTGGAAGGGAAGGAAACAGGTCCGCAACGTAGGAAGTGGTGAAGGAAGTAGTAAAGGCGAGCTGTTCGGGGCATGGGATCTGTTTATGACTATTAGATTAAGGTATTTGCAATCCTAAAATGCTAGGGGAAGGGAGGAAAACAGATCCGTGACGTAGGAAGTGGTGAAGGAAGTAGTAAAGGCGAGTTGTTCGGAGTGTAGGAACTGTTTATGACGATTAGATTAAGGTATTTGCAATCCAATAATGCTAAGGGAAGGGAGGGAAACAGGTCCGAGACGTAGGAAGAGGTGAAGGAAGTAGTAAGGTGAGCATTGTGAAGTGTGTGAACTGGAAACCGTTTGTACCAGTTAGATTAATGTATCTGCAATGCTGAAATTCTATGAGAAGGGATGGAAGCGTGTCCACGACATAGAGAATTGTAAAAGACGTAGTAAAGGCTAGCAGTGCGGATTGTGGGCAATGTTGTGACAATTAGATTAACGAATCTAAAATACTAAAATGCTATGGAAAGTTATGCATATTGGTCCACGATGTAGGAAGTGGCTTAGGAAGTAGTAAAGTATGAGCTTAGTGTGAGAACCGTCTGTGGCAGTTAGATTAATGTATCTTCAATCCTAAAATGCTATGAGAAGGGAAGGAAACAGGCCCTACGACGTAGGAAGTGGTGAAGGAAGTAGTAAAGGCTGGAAGTGCAGAGTGGGGGAACCGTTTGGCCAGTTAGATAAATGCATCTAATACTTAAATGCTATAAGAAGGGAAGGAAACAGACCTATGACGTAGGAAATGGTGAAGGAAATAGTAAAGGTGAGCAGTGTTGAGTGTGGGAATGGATTAATGTATCTGCAATGCTAAAAAGCCATGGGAAGATACTGTACACTGTAGGTTAAAATGATTACGAAGCATGAATCGATACATATTTCGATACATGCAATCGTTTACAATATAAATTTACAACTGAGTTGACAACAGCTGATTTTTACTCCATAGAGGCTAAAAAACGATTTTTACTCCCTACAGAGCAAAAATGCTACTTTAGACCCGCAACGCATGCATTAAAAACGACTGTTTTTACTGCAGTATGACAAAAACAATATAATATAAACCCTTGATGACTCCGCTCAATTTTGTGGATGCCTCTGCGAACGCCACCTAGTATTTAATGTCTCTCGGGAGCAGAACCTGTACCTCTTATCATCTGCTCTTTAAACTGTCAAATTTAAGTATTTACAGCTGACTTCATGTGATATATTTACATTCTTCCAAAATTAAAACATAAAAAAAGTTTGGAAGTTTATGGGGCTTAGCCCAAGGGAAATATAAAAATAAATGGTATAATATTGTATTGTCATCCATTTGTGAGCTATTTTCAAGTTTCAAGTCTCTAGCTCATCGGGAAACTAGTCAAAAATTGATTGCAAATTTTGTACCGGACAAGAAAGCAAGCTAATAAAAACGTTTTAAAATAAGGACAAAATAAAGTAACAACATAAATGTTTTTGTTATTGTTTTTATTTATATCATGGTAAAATTAAATGTGATATTTATATCGAACCCGAACAAAATCGATATATATTTATAATTATCAGATAATCGTTGGTTCTCCGCGGAACTGTACCATAATCTTTGTTCGCTTTGCTCGGTTTCAGAGCGCAGGTGTCTTCTGGTTATCTGCCCTGGTGGCATGTTCTCTGCCATATGGAGGCTTTTCTGACCCGATAAAGCCACCTACTACTAGAGGAATCAGCCTTGGTAGGTCTCAAATCTATTTTAGAGTCGGTTAAAAGTTAATGCCTCCATTTACATAGAGTTCTATGATGATTTAAATTGTACTTTTCTTTAAATTACAATTAATGACATCCAACCAGTTATACAATTGACTATTGGATACTGAAGTAGACCAATATAAACCAGCTGTGGCCAATTTTTTGTTAAAGAACGAAGTTGTGCGAGCCAGTCACAGAATGCGCTAGTGATTAAAACTCGATTTTCTACCTCATTTTTTGTTGCTGGCCAAGTTGATGGGACATAACAGTTGCTATAGCTCACAATAAGTCATTCCATTTATTTGAATTGGTAAAAAAGATTCTGTATTCGATAGAAATCAGTAATTTATATCAGCGCAACATGTCCGTGGCTTACATCAACTACGACGATTTTGGTAAAAATAAAATAGCTACAAATTTAATATGGGGATGGAATGTCTAGTTGTACTAATAGTCAAAGGTTACACATAAATATTTTTGCAAATAATTTATTGCGTTCGATATAAACTACAGATAACTGATCGAGGGAATCACTGAATCTGTATACTAGAAACAATTGACAAAGATATTGGGTATATAGAAGTTTATAATTTTAAATTATTGAAATTAACAACATTTATGAGTTAGTTAACATTTCATTGGTCCTGTTTCGGTTTGAAAGCATACTTTATTTACCGATAAATGCAATCATTCATGTTTTATTAATTTGTTATGTGACAGTTTTATGCTCTGCCAATATAATTAACATTTCTAGTTCAAATTAATGTTATATTTTTACACTTTGGTCTAAATGTGTATAAAAAGGGGGTTATCACCGTTAAAGAAACAGTACAACATTACTACCACAATTTAAGTCCGACTTGTGGTTTAGCAATATAATTTTCAAATCGTCACTATTTTTTCGTCAAAATCAACAAACAAGCTAAAAGAGCAAAACATGGTACAGCTGGTGTCTTTTGTTCTAGCCAAGTCTTTTTGCCAAATGGTGAAATACCCTAGCAAAGCGGCGTTTGTATTGAAAACAATCGACGGAAATTACGGCCAATATCTTGAAATTGTACATTACGCAGGAACACTGTTACATTGTTAACGTTACTATTTCTATTTAAGGGTTCAAAATATTTTCCTTCTCTATAGAATTTTTTGTTGATTGATGCCTATTTAGGTGGAATAGTCAACTTGTTCAAGCACCACCATTCGTCCTCGGCTCCATCTCAACAGGTGAAACCTGTGCACTACTCGCAGATCGGAAGTGGTTAGTTCAAAGTGTCCCTGTGTTATGGTGACAAAGACACATAACGTACCAATAAGGTGATGGTGTGGTGAAGGAACTTGTACATAGGGTTATCCATTGTAAATACCATTTCCTCACTGCACAGATCTAGAGAAAGTACGGTTGGATATTTTTTGACCTGTATTGTGAAATATATGTTTGTATATTAAACCTTCGTGCGTCCATCAACAGTTCTCGAGCGGCAATGACTCGTGCTCGTAATACACACAATTTTTTCTACCACCATAATAAATTCATCATAGTACACAGATTAACTTTTTAGTAGTTGTATATAGCATGTCATTTAGGTTATGTTTGCTTTTTTTAGGTTATGTTATTTGCTTACGAGTTAACTATCGGATCCACGGCTGTGCTTGTTGTGAAATCAGGTGTTTAGCGAACGGGAATTATATATTCCCGCTCTAGAGCGTGAATGAGCTATTTTGCGCACTGTTTAAATGTGTGGCAATGCAATAATTCCCATTCAGTGGCAAGAAAAAACATTATTGACATTATTACTGATCCGTACAAACACAAATACTGAGCAAACTTAGCTAAAATGTTATACAAGTTTGGATTATGTATTCAGCCAATAATTTCTAATTTTAGAATACTTTTGGCTATGCCCTCTGAAAGTCAAAAGTTATGAGGTATATTTTATGAAAGAAAAATGCTGATTGGTCTACTTGCAAAGAGCAATGATTCGATTGTTGAAACCAATGTCATCTTTCTAAGTTGGAAAAAATCTAGTAACGCTTTAACAGTTGTACGAGATTCTTTTTTGAAAGTATTATCCCTTCAAAAGCTTACGTATGTGGCTTGGTAACGTGGATGTAGGTTTAGTTTTGTCCAGATATGTGCAAATTGACGCAAGAATCTTGTTAAGACAAATGAATATAAAGGACGGAAGAATCAAAGCCTTGTGCTACAGACTGTCTCAAGTACATCAAACTTACAATAATATGCTGTGATTGTTAACCTTAACAAAAAAAAATACATCTTGTAGCTACAAGCTTTTCAAAACAATATTGATTAGCTCCAGGAATGTAGATTACTCGATGTCTCCTTAAATGATTATTGTCCTCTACCCTTAACAGCTTATCTTGAGACGAAAGTAAGATTTCAGGACCAAGGTAGATTCAGTATTATTTTATGTTCCCACTGCATCTTGGTTATACCTGAAAATGTTCGTTATGCTTCCAAAGGTAGTTCCGTAAGAAAATAGAGTTTGATCCGTGCCTTAACTGCACCTCAATAGCTCCCAGCAAGCAGTTGCCCCAGAGGATGTCTTCCGTCTCTCAAATAGGTGGAAAGTCGTTTGTTCAATTCAAGGTGAGCTGACGAGTACCGTTGTTCCTTCGGGTCACCTAAAAGGTGCAAACCAATGTTTAAGCTTTACTCAAAAAACTGCTTTCGAAAAAAATACCCAGTCACCAAAGGAAATGCTTCAGAATGAGATGGGAAGAAACCCAGGCTATTGAATCTTTACAGACAAAGGAAGTTCGGGAGAGCAGACACCAGAAAGCACCGTTGCTCTACCACCTTTCTCTTAAGCGACGCGACTACTACGGTCAAGTTTGATCAAATTTAGATTTTGGCCCCAGCATTTTAACTATTCCTTCCTAAAACAAAACAAGCCCTTACAATACAATTTTAGGTTGTTTTACTACTGTCATAGCCACCCTTACCAGTGGTATCCATTCATTTCATCCGCTGTAATATATTGCTATATATTCTGTATTATATGTATGCATATTCCATGCATATTATATGTACCGATTGTATTCTGAGTGCATTTATTTTTCTAGAGATAACATAGCCACATGATGTTTAAGAATTATTGACAGCATTAATTTTTTGACTTGTATGATCTTTGATTATCGTTTGCTATCGCTTTTCAATGTTTGTATTCTGAAAACACATTTATTGTGTGTTGAGCTATGTACAATATCTACTAATACTGTAAGATGTGATGAGTTTTGCTTATTGTATATATCTGCATGGTCGTGTAGTACACAATGGTAATACATAAAAGCTGCAACAAGTTGTATTCAATAAAATATTTGAAAAAAAAATTGGAAAAATATTTGGTAAAACTATATAATCTAGATATAGACAATATATAATCTAGATTTTCTAAACGTTTGTTACGTAAAAATCTACTGTGACATTTTACCTCCTTTAATACAAAATTTTAAGTTGCTTTCGTTAAAAAAACTCAGAAACGGAACTGAATCTTGCTGATATAGTATGTAAACCCCAACGGATAAATTTATATCATTCTCATATTATATTTGCTCACAAAATCACAGTCAATTATCTGTCTATTTGTTCCATCCAAATGAGTTGTGCGCTAAAATATATGTATCCAATACTTTTCGGTTGTTTAAATTTTGTAATTTTTTTGTTGATAGGGATTTTCTTTTAAATCTCACTTTACACCCTACAGTGTAAGAACATTCTACTTAAAAATGAATGATGAAGACAGGAAAATGGTTTCATTTGATTTTGATATTTTGTAAGACTCTAGTGGTGTAGAGTACCAAGGATGGCCTTATGAGGATGTAAAGTTCAATCACCCTATCCAGTCTCCCATCGACATCATCACTAGCCAAGCAGTGACGCTACCCTTGCCTGTGCTAGACATTGTGGAGCCAAAACAGCCTAAAGTTAAAAGTCTTGTGTACAACAATGGACACAATGGTAAGTAGCTAAGTAGACAAGCTTGATAAGTAGGTTTACACTGGTAATTATCTAAGTAGTCAAGCTTGCTAAGTAGGGTCACACTGGTAAGTGAAGTATCCAAGCTTGATAAGTAGGTTCACACTAGTAAGTGAAGTAGCCAATCTAAATAAGTAGGGTCACACTGGTAAATGAAGTAGCCAAGCTTGATAAGTAGGGTCACACTGGTAAGTAGCTAAGTAGCCAAGCTTGATCAGTATGTTCACACCGGTAAATAGCTATGTAGTCAAGCTTGATAAGTAGGGTCAATCTTCATACAGTATCTTTATTCAGTATGGTCATTCAAGCTTGATAAGTAGGGTCAATCTTATATCTTATATCTTTTGTTTACACTGGTAAATAGCTAAGTAGCCAAGCTTGATAAGTTGGTTCACACTGGTAAGTAGCTAAATAGACAAGCTTGATTAGTAGGGTCACAGTGGTAAGTAGCTAAGTATCCAAGGTTGATAAGTAGGGTCACGCCGGTAAATAGCTACGTAGCCAAGCTTGATAAATAGGGTCACATTGGTAAGAAGCTAAGTGGCTAAGTAGTCAAGCTTGATATGTACGGTCACACCGGTAAATAGCTAAAAAGCCAAGGTTGATAGGTAGGGTCACACTGGTAAATAGCTAAGTAGCCAAGCTTTATAAGTATGTTCACACTGGAAAGTAGTTGATAAGTAGGGTCACGCCGGTAAATAGCTACGTAGCCAAGCTTGATAAGTAGGGTCACACTGATAATTAGATAAATAGCCAATGTTGATAAATAGGGTCACACTCACTGGTAAGTATCTAAGTGGAGAAGCTTGATAAGTAGGGCCATCTGGTAAGTACAGTATATAAGTAGTCAAGCTTGATTAGAAGGGTCACACTGGTAAGTAGCTTAGTAGCAAAGATATATACTTAGAAACACACTGGTAACCATAGCATTTGTTATATTTCATTAGTAAGTGTTGTTCCATTTTGTCCTTATCTAGTGACAACAAATACGCTTCACTATAGTTCATCAAATTTTATAAATATATAATTTAACTCTTATTTTGTATTACTCAACTATACGTGACAAAACAACACGTAAAAACCCACGGTTACTGTAATTTGCTGTAGTTTATAGATATTTAACTGTTTATCATTAACCATGTTTCAATTTCATTCATTCTTGACACTATTATTTCCAATAGAGTTTCTGTTTCTTTTTCTAAAATATTTATCAGTTAAAGATTTGTATTTACTATCTTGTATACCACTCATTTCAGTCTACGTATACATTGAAGAGGACCCATCTGTTAGACCGTATCTAATAGGAGGACCACTCAAGCAGAAATTCATTTTTCAGCAGATGCATTTCCATTGGGGGGCCCAAGACATTTGGGGGAGTGAGCATCTTGTCGATGGCAACAGGTACTTGCTTGATTATTTTTGTAGCCTCTGAATAAACCGCTGTATTGAACAAAAATACGTAATATTTTTAATTTTAATCGTTTTTACTAAATTACCTTCCAATTATCCTTGCACAAGTTTTGAACTGCAAATGACAAAGTATTTAAAAATTGTTAAGTATGATAAGTCAAAATCAATGTTGTTTAGTAATGATTGAATCCAAGGTGATATCGTATGATTTTTTTAAACTGTATTTTCTTGCTGCTTCAGCTACTCTGTGGAGATCCACATGGTTCACTTCAACGCAAAGTATGCTAATTTTGACGAGGCCGCTAACAAGCCTGATGGTCTTGCAGTTCTTACCATTTTTGCTGAGGTTCGTAACAGTCAATATTACGTGTTATATCACATCAACTGAATTATTTTCATGATATTGTAACACAACAATTTGAACCCGAACATCATTACGATATGAGTGGGATATGAGTAAAATGTCTGTAAAGGTTTTAACTGAGAAAGATCAGCTGTTTTAAACAGAGCCATTTAAAAACCAATTATCAAAGACAGCTGAGATCAGCTGATATAAAAGATTGCAACCTTTCTCAGGCAATCGTGTGGATTTACCTTACTGAAAACAATATAGTATTCTACTCTAGTTCTCGTTCATCAATTTATTCAAGTATTCATTCATGTATTACTCAATCAAAAATCATAAATCTTATTATTTCTCAGATGTACCATTTATTTTAACGCTGTGGAGCCGCGTGGGTCATCTAGCTATTTGGTAAAACCATTGACTATATATACCTAGTCAATGGTAAAACTAACCCACGAGTTACAACATGTGTTTTACGTCGGAATGTACATATTCTCAGTAATTTTCAGTGTGGTATCTTATGGGCCACACGATATGAAACATACCGTGTTCCCTGTAGTTAAAAATTTTGAGTAAGCGAGGTTTCCAGTTATTTCTTGATGCTACCACCCACCTAAATACGCAGCAGGATTAGGATTCATAAAATGGATTAGTGATTTCTAACTAGTATTGGTTAATATTGTTTATTGTAACTAATGTCCTAAACATAACATGTTCTTCTACAGAGCCAGGACAAAGACAACAAGCTGCTAGAGCCTCTATACAACTTGCTGCCTAAGCTGTCGGAACCCAATAGCTCTCAGGAACTGTCTACCCCGTTGGTGATGCAATGGCCCACTAGCGCTCTAACTGACAATGACGAGTACTACACATACCCTGGATCCCTCACCACAGAACCGTACTCGGAAAACGTAGTGTTCATAGTGTTGCCCAAGCCGATCAAGCTTTCTCATAAACAGGTAAAATTGGTAGTAAAACATGTAAAGAAATTATATTAAAGGTTATATAAACGTGAATTATATTTAAAGAAAAAAGTCAGACAAATATTCTATTAGATTCTCATATTTTAAGGGGTGAATGTAGGAACTACTTGGGGGAGACTTATTCTACTTCGTTTAAACGTAAAACACTATAGATATTTTATGTGAACCTTTCGGCTTTATTCCCAGGATGGAACCATAGTTTGTTAATAAAACAAAGGATTTTGATAAATATTTAAAGTTTACATACATAATTTGGCACGTCAATCGGTAACGCCAGGGGATTCGTGCACAAGTCAGTGATGTCTTGGGTTCAAATCCTGTGCTGGTACCTCCCTCTACTTTTTATCAGAACAGCTCAACATCTGCTTTACCAGCTCACCCCTTGCTTCGCTGAATACTACACGCACAGGCCCTGTGGTACATGTGGATATTTTTTGGTATATCCACCTTTGGTATATCTACCGATTTCATACAACTGAAGGATAAAACATATGCAAGATAAATGCTACCAACTTCTTTAAATCACAAACAAAATTTAAGTTGTACATATTAGTTATATTACACGATATCCATAAAAATGTCCCTAAAATTTAATAAACATCTCATATCACACCATCCAATCTGGAATGTAAGTGGTGTTACTCGCTGCGACTAGAGTAGGCTACTAATCACTATGTGAAAACAGTAGCATTGATCACCTGTTAGAAAAATAAGCGCAGCTGATAATTAGTGAAAAAAAAACTCACTAATTTCCATTGTTATACTAAATTTTGTAACACTTTTAGGTTGGAACTACTAGCATAAACAAAAAGAATTTATTCATGTAGTGTGTATGTCATTGGTGTTTTAAGCCTGATATAATTTACGTGAGGTAATACTGTTTACGATTTTTAGCTCGCTGCCTTCCGAGAAATCCATAGCGAGCACCATGACAAGATGTTGGCAAACAAGAGAGATGTGCAGCCTGTCCATCAACGGCCTATTGTGCGCTCCGTGAGTGTCCGTGAATACTTGTGAAGAATCTTTAGTGGAGAATAAAATATTCTGAATCCTATAAAACAATATTTAATTACAAAATTGATTCCTGTCTATGTAATGTAGATTTACTGAATTGCAATGTATAAAGGAGCATATTTTTTCCTACTTTATTTTTCCTGAAAAAAGAAATGTGTGATTTTTATCCAAACGAAAATGGTTTATGGGTGGTATTTATTTTTGGGTATTTTATATATCACAACTAACGATTTATTTAAAACCATTTTTCGCAACAAACACATAATCTAGTAGGAAAAATTTATTTATCTGATCTAGGAGAATTTATCATGACTCCACTGTTACAATTATATCGTTGTAAAGCTGAAATATACCATCAAACTTAAGTAAATATTTGTAAAAAACTGGTATCTTCTTTTGTGTTATTAATAACATTCAAAAATAGTGGGAGATGACAAAAGTTAAATATACAGGGTGACACAAAGGAACCGGACGTTTTTTTTTTAATAAGAACTACACAGTAGTTAACAGGAATAACATGGTTTTAATACCGTAAATAGTGAGGTAAACATTTGCCATTTGTTAACTAACAGTCATTTTTCTTAATGACGTCACGCGTATGGCGGCCATGTACTTCTCTACAAAATGTTTATTCTGGTCTGAAAATCATCTGGTCAGGAGTTCTTATTCAATCATTGATCTCTTCTGCGATTGCCAACTTCAAATCCTCCAGTGTACGTGATTGGGCCCCAAACGAAGTAACCACAGTTGGACAAGTCAGTTGACCTTGGCGGGATGGCGGCCACGGTATGTCACTAAAGCGAGAAATCCCCTTGTTAAGAAACATTTGCCTCAAGACTCTCATTAATTGGTCTTCAGTGTATTCTGTAGAACCGTCCTGTTGATTCATGTTATATTCCCAGTTGTTTGGAACCCTAAAACCCATCTTAATAGCTTATTTTGGCTTGGAACCATTCCATGGAGTTCAATATTAAAATTCTACAAAATTCTCGTTGGGTTTTGACGACGGATTCACCATTTTGGACAAAAGTGTCGTATGGGAAAACGCAATGGTCTACGGTTCACTGAGCCATTTAAACAAAAATGGCAAGCCTCACTGAAGGTAATGACATAATTTCAATCTTTCTACCACGTGCGACAACAATGGAACAGCTGTTTAAAAACATCCTGTTCCTTTGCGTCACCCTTTATATTTATTTTTCTTCTTATTTTTGTTTGATAATTGAACCAATGATTTTTCGAATTCAAAGTTTCGCTGTTTGTATATTAAATTGTAATTTTAAACCAATCTTTGACCCAAGAAACAAATTACAGATGAGAATCTTTGATTTGTTTATGAAATCTTTAGTAAGTTCTTACCTACTTTATACAACAAAAATCTGTTGAACTAGATCGAATTGCAGACAGAGGTGCAATGACAGCTTAGTTGATAAGTTCGTGTTGTTGTGTATGTGTAATGTAAGCAATATTGGGTGATCAGCTGATTGGAGTTACTGCTACCACATGTTAAGACCTCGTAATAGTAATAGAGATAGATGGTTAAAGCCAGCTGTGCGACGGCCATCTTGTTTTCGTGCGTCACTTGATTGGACGAATAATTATTACGTCTGATCGGAGGTATGTTAACTGTTTATCACTATACTACCGCAGTACAAAAAAGATTCTCAAATGAACATTTTAAAAATTTTACATATTTTGTATGTTTATTACATTGTCCAAAATATACCACTAGATTATGGCAATCAGAATGAGTAGAGAAAGATTTTAATTGTTTACATAATTTTAAATTAGTTATTAATGTGTAATGCGAGTCCCATGCCTCACTTTAAGTTTAAGTTTCCTAAATGTTACACTCGCTTAGCTTAGTGAAGAGGTGTTAGGTTAATGAGACATAAGACTGCTTAAGGGTGTTACTCAACGTGTAATGAACAAAAATTTAAATTACGAAAACAACAAAAGTTAAAAGTGTTACAACAGCAAAAGAAAACTTTGAAAATGCAAAAAACAACAATAATAAGATAAATTAATTTGCAACGTTAAATTTACAAGAAAAGAAAATCAATTGAAAATATAAAAGAATTAGTTACTGACAAATTATATGACTTTTATGTTTGACAAAGTGTTAGTTAGATATTTTATTCTTTCTACATACTGTCTATTGTCCCAGAAGCACACACACCGATACACGCACTCCCAAACTCCCGATCTTCTTTCTCCGGTGGCCCGTGGTGATCTCCTCGATGTTTTCCTTCAGATCCTCCAGCTCCAAGAGTCTTGACCCCTCCATCTTCATCATTAGCCCTTCTCATTGGCTGATTACCGATAGGGTGTGTGGCTAATAGGTTAACGGTGTTTCTTGGAAGTCAGCCCTACCGGTCATCGCCTAGCTCACATCAGCTGGGAAAGGAATTTGTAAATCGATGCTCATGCTACTGTTCAACTCTGTTCACACCAACTGGTCGACTAAGTGTAATGTGAACAGAGTGTCTGCATAGATGAGCACCGTGGGTACGGGGTTAATCCCCTTTCTTACACCCCCCTGGTTAAAACGTCAACCTACCACCGGTTGACAATAAAAAAGAAAAAAAAACAACTTAAGGAGATACGCGGAAACATCAATCGCGAAGGTGGGAATCGAACGGATATCTTGATGTGCGTTCCGACTCTTCTTCCCCCCTTCCTGCGACGCGACGCGATCTTGAGGATCGGCGCATTTTCTTGTTTCGCGACCCTTCCAGCGACGCGGTAGAATGAGCTGGTGGTGTATAGCTCATAGTCGCTCACGTCTTCTTTCGCCCCATCGAGTCTCCTTAAGTTAATTGATTGTTTCATTAATTTTGAACTATTTAAATTTTAGCTGTTTGTTAAGATGTTTTATTTTTTAAATTATTATTATAAATTATTTTTTGATGTTGAGATTATTAATGGTTTATTCTGGGTAACACTTTGTTACATTAATAGTCTTTTTGAGGGGTTTGAGGTTTTGTGATTAGATTCATTTTAATATTGAGTATGTGGATGAAATATGCTGAAATAATGAGTAAGATTGTTAATATTACAATCCAGACTAATAAAATGTACAAAATTACTCTTCTATCATCTAAAATGTCGGTCCAATTATTCTTTAATGTTATATGATTAAACAATTTAACAGGTTCTAGATTCTTTACAACAAAGGTGGGAGTAGTGATATTCCAATCGTCTATTATGAAGTTTGTGATGTTGTTGAATTCTGATCTATCGATCCTGTCTAGTGGGTCAACTTTGAGATAGTTTAAATTTGTCCATGAAAGAGGAATTAAATGAAAAATGGCTGGTGATTGATGGTCTCTGGAATCACAAGGAATGATAGTGTCAATGATTATTGTTTTTCCTTGGGAAACAGAACAGTCACAAGGTAATCTAATCTCTAGAGTTCCGGTTCTCATTTTTGGTATGGTTTTAATGTTGGGTTTGTTCAAACAATTGACTGTTAAGTCACTTTTTATGTTGGTGACTAGAAAAGTGTTAACTGATTTTTCTTTTACAATCACGTGATTAGGTGAATCATAGCAATGAAATTCACAGTGACTTTTTAGGTCTGAAATGTCTGTACCATTTAATAAATAAAGTGCACACATTGATGACTTGGAATATTGTAAATTGTGTCTTGGGATCAAGCAAAGGTTAGAATTGCGTTCATTGCAGTATTCATTATTTTCGGTCTCTACAATTCCCCTTACCCGGCGCCTTATATTTCTTACAGTAAATATAACATTTTTACATACTTTTAATTATTTGTACCTTTGAAATCATTTTCCTATAAAGTGCTTCGACCCCGTGCTTTAAATCTTATATTTATACGACGAAATGTGTTTTATGAGTTTTTACATTGTACATTTATGCTATTCGTTTGCACACATGGGGTTTAGAATGTCTTACTCCATTTGTGTATGATTTTTTTTTATTTTGTGTGTGGTATGTTTTAACGCCAGTGGCATTTTTTACGTTTTGATAGGGAACGGTCCAAGCCCTGGTCTTGTAAATATCTAACTTCAACCTTTTTGTTAGCTATCATCATTAATTCATAGCCCTATGACAAATTACATCAGGGTCTGGAAACGATCTCGCTTGGATTTGAACCAGCGACCTTCAGATTTGAAGGCGAGCACTTCAAATAACATAGATATAACACAAATATAACATAGATAGATAACCACTCGGCTACCCAGACAATCAATTGGTAATAATATGGTTTTTCAAACAACACAAAACAGTGTCCTTTTATTAGGCACGTAATACGTGTACGCTTGAACAAAAATTTGGCAACACTTACTGTAGTACTACGACTATGATCAGCTGGTGCAGCGTTTCACAGCCAACTACGGTTATTCGTGTTAGCATTATATTTTCGTTCAACGCTTGGATTTAACCTGACCAAAAAACGTGTTGTACAGTGCTTGAAAGACTAATTCTTATTTATAGGATTTATAGTAACTGTAGGGAAAATATAATTTATAAAGTGAGAGAAAGTGCCTTTACTTCCATCAAGAAACCTTTCTCTCATTTGCAGCAAAGCGCCAATTTCCACACTAGTTACACAAACAACTATTTCATATAATAGTCTGGTCACAAGGCAAATGAATCCTGTTTACATAAATGAAAGCTTATCTGCCACTTGACGGATTCTGCTGGTTGCAGGCTTCAAAGTTGGTTTTTACAGAGAATAAAAAATCGAAGGTTACTCATCTGACATTGGAAGTAAACAACTCTACATGCCTGTTTAGACTGAAAGTATTGAACTGTATAAAACTAAATTAAAGCCAAATTATTGTGTTCAATATTATAATAAAGGTAATAAATTCAATATATATATATTTTTTTTAATTCAATATTAAGTAATGGTAAAAAGCAATGGTGAGGTAGAGGCTAAACAGTTATTTTAAATAACGTTATTCAGTTTTCCATTAGAAAGAGTTAAAATTAGGTAAGTTCTGGTTCGTTTATTTTTATCAAAACAAACATAACAGTGAGAAGAGTCAACTTAACCGCTCTGTCATGTTTTTCTC